AGATGAGTCACCCCCGAGGTCCAGAACCGAGAGGTCACCCAAATTGTAGGCGTCCTGCGTTACGGAAGCTGTCTTTAGGAGGTCTTCGGTCGAATACCCTAGTGCCTCCATAACAGGACGACCGACAGTAATGTTCAATCCCGAGTCGGTTGTGTCCACTCAAGCGCTCACGTTCTTCAAAGCCAACGGCGCCTCCCCCGTCAAGAGAACTAACTCGGGCAGGAGTACGTGCTTGGAAAGGGATCACAAACCACCGCCAAAACTCTCCTTGACCTGAGGAGTGGGCAAATCCTTCGCCTGAAGGTCAACTTTCGAATGCAGGGCGATAAGGCCGAAAAGACCATTGGAGAGAAGCATCCCGGGATTACTTCCCGAGTCGATTAGCGTTGAGATGGGCTTCTCTAGCGCGACTCGAGGGATCTCGGACCAGCAACATCCGTCAGCTGGCTGCTCTCCCGTCCAACGGAGAGACTTCACGACCTTTGATTTAGTCGGTTTCCTCTCCTTCTTCTCGGTCCATTTGGCCTTCCACTTGTCCTGGATCGCTTTCTTCTCAGCATCTGAGACTTCAACACAGGTGATTTCCGCGACATGCCCAACAACTTGGCGCTTTCTTGATGTCCTGGCAGCCAGGTGTTCCCGATGAAGCGGTGTTCATCAAAGCCTTGACATTCCTTGGTGAAACAGAGCCGGCCCGGGACGATTCGTCTCCCGAAGTCTTTATGATCCCCGTCACCTTGGTGGCCCGCGTGAACTCAAGTTGGGCAACCAGCTTGACCTTGACATACGTCATGAACTTGTGCACTGAGTTGCGAAGGTGTTTCTGGTCCAGATCAAGGTTCTTCTTGATGAATGCCTTGAGCGCGGACGGGCTAAGCCCTTCCACCAGCGCCTTCACAGCCGCCTTGGGAGGTTTGGTATGGAGCGACATCATGTTGTTCCTTTCCAACAAAGACCAGTACAAATAGACCAACTTGTCGTAGCACCCATCGGCGTCCTGTTCTTTGTCATCCATAACGACAGACGACTTGATTTTCGCCTCGAGATCGCCGAATCGGGACCTTGGTAATCGAGAGCGTACTGGAAGTATGCCATCCACTCAGTATTCGTGACCGACGACGCATCCTTCCCAAGGTGCATCATGGCAGCAAACTGCTTCGCCTTCGCGTCAATGCAGGTGCCAATTGGTCGAATGCCGATCCTCGTGCCCAGGGTCAACGCCGATTGAGCACATTCATTGCAGTACGCATGGTACTGCTTGGCAAACTTCGTGCGGTGGTCCACCGAATGTCCATGTAACGAGGAGCTTTCGGTGCAGCGAATCCACTGAGCAGAGGGACAATTTGCTGGTGACCCGAGTAGTCACTCCTTCCCGGATCCACTCCCGTAGTCGATTGGAGCCAACTTTCAGGAGATGCAACACCATGACATCTCCGACACGATTTGCATCGCTCCGGCCACGACTCATCTCAACCTTGAGAGACTGAGCCCATGCCATGCGCTCGCGTTCCATCGCAGCTTCACGCTCCCGATCACGGCGCAATAATTCGGCAACTTGGGATTCCAACTGCCGAGATACTTTGAGGGCCTTTCGGGCCTCATCAGTTGCGATTTGTTCATGAGTGTGGTAATGCTGCAACTGTCATCTGCGCCACCCGCATCGCTTGCTCTTCTCCGGCTTGTCTAGCCGCCTTGAGCTCTTCCTGCAGCGCAAGTCCAGCGCTTTGCATGACTCGTTCTTGACAGACACCCGGGTCAACTCCGCAGCCAGGGCAATAATCTGTTCGTCCCTTCGTGCTCGTTCCAACTCAGCTAGAACAGGAACATCCGCAATCTGCTGATAACGATGGTGCACTTCTTGGGACCGGACCATCGCCG